TTTGTGTGGATCCCACTCAGGATGGACCGGTTTCCGCACAAAAGCCCCCAATTCTTGCCTGGCAGGAGAATTTAGCCTGAACTTTTGACAGTTCCGCCGCCTTTGCTTTCCCCTCCTTTTCAGAAAGTTGCAGCTGGATGTCTTTCTTTTTAAGGCCTTCCTGTCTGTAGACAACAAACCTCCACTTTTCTTTTGGCAAACTTCTTCCTTCCCGTTTAAAAAGACTTCCATTGAGGGTTTGCGAGAATGAAGGCTCATTCATCGGGCGCGTGCAAAGAGCCCTTGTTTTTTCTTTTTTTTCACCTGGTCTTTTAGCAACTCCTTCCCATGTGCCTAGTATCTCTTAAAAAGGGATAATTTTAATTAAGGTTTTTTTTTTTTTTGCAGTCCAGAGTTTGTGGCTTTGCTGGTATGCAGTGCCCTTTTTGTTCTCATTTATTTATTTTTTTAATAGGAAAGGAATTGGAAGCAAAAAGCCACGTCCTTGGCTTTTGCTAGGTAGTGGCTTTCCAAGCAAGAAAGTTAAAACTGGAGATTAAATCAGGTTTCAGGCAGAGTCTCTTCTGCTCCAAATAAAATATTCCTCAAAATCTGTTGAAACATTTTCTTACTTATTAAATTGAAAGCAGGGAAGGTGGCTGGGAACGCAATGGAATAAAGGTCAAGCACTTTCTATTTTTGTTGTTTATGCTCATCCAACTAGCTCTCCTTACCCAGAAATTTAAACATTTTTAAATTTATTTATTTTAAAAAATAATAACATGGGGATCTTTGTAGGCTGACCATAACATTGGCCTCTGTAACGCATTCTGAAATTGCTGCTGAAAGAAGTTTAGTAAAATTTAGTATAAGATAAAAATATAAAAAGAAACACAAGAGAGAGCTAAGAAAAAGGCAGTTAGGATTTTAAAGGGGAAAGAAAGAAAGAGAGAGAAAGGGAGAGAGAAAGAAAGAAAGAAAGGGAGGGAGGGAAGGAGAAAGGAAGAAAGGGAAAGGAAGGAAGAAAGGGAGGAAGGAAGGAAAGGGAAAGGGAAAGGGAAGAGGGAGAGAGATGGAAGGAAGGAAGGAAGGAAGGAAGGAAGGAAGGAGAAGAGATGGGAGCGAAGGAAGGGAAGGGAAGGGAAAGGAAGGGAGAAGGAAGGAAAGAAGTCTTCCAACTTCTTTCTGTGCAGTAATCCAGGGCTTTTCAACCCGTAGTACGGGTACCACTTGTGGTACATTGGCACCTGGCAGGTGGTACACGACCATCCTAGAAAAGTGGTAGCGGGGGAGGGGAAAAAGCTGAACCGGTGGCAGCACCGCACAAGCCTGAGCGAGAGATGGCTGGAGCTGCAGGGCTGTCAGGGCCCAGCAGAAGCGCCAGGATCAGCGCCAGGCTCCAGCTGGAGCTCGGCGCTAATCCTGGAGCTTCTGCTGAGCCCTGAAGAAGCACCAATCAGCTAGAAAGAGGCACTGATCCTGGTGCTTCTGCTGAGCCCAGAAGAAGCGCAGATCAGCTGGAATGTTGCAGCCTCTCCAGGGTCTTGTGATTTACATTCAGATGCTTGGCAACTGATTCATATTTATGATGGTCACAGTGTCCCAGGGTCATGTGAAATGACCAGAACCTGCTGCAACCACCCAGCAGATGGGGGGGGGGGAATAAAAAACAAACACCCCCCCCCACCCTCACTGCCAATCCTCAACAGAAATGCTCACAACAATGAAAACCTCGGACAGGAGGAAGAGTGCCTCCGGGTGGGCAGGCAGGTGTCTGGCTCGGCTGTGGCTTGGGGAGCACTTTTTTCAGTGCCATTGTAACTTTGAACAGTCACTAAGCGAACTACCTGTAGTTTATAACTTTTTTCCTTTTTTGGGGGGGGGGGTCATCAAGTTTTTGACACCTTGCTAGGCGACTGGTGGTACTTGGATATTGTCATATCCTAAAAGTGGTACAATGGGTGGAAAGGTTGAAAAGCCCTGCAGTAATATACATAATATATGAGAGATAAATAGCTCGAAATAGCTATACTAGTCTCCCCTGAACTCTTTGCCAGCAAAATCTAGTTTTACATATATATCATCAACCGTTTCTCAACATTTCAAGCCATTTCTAGAACAACAGAATCTAATCATCTAAAGCAGTGGTTCTCAACCTGTGGGTCGGGACCCCATTTGGGGTCGAACGACCATTTCACGGGGGTCGCCAAACAATGCAGTCCGTCATTTTTTCCCCTCTTTTCCTTAGCTGTGCTACTCCCTTTTATTCTATTGGCTTTTGAAAGCCAATAGAATAGACTCTCTTGAATAGAGTCTAATTCTATTGGCTTTCAAAAGCCAATAGGAATTGTCCAGGCTGTCTCTGCTCTGCTGAGCCCGCCAAAAGTCCCATTCTGCAAACGGTGCTGCACCAGTGGAGTAGTCCTCGACTTACGACCGGTTGAGTAGTCCTCGACTTACGACAGGTTGGGGGGGTCGCGGCATTAAAAAGGTTGAGAACCCCTGATCTAAAGGATGACTTTGTTCACTGTAACATTTATGCCCCCCTTCTTAAACTCACTTTATTTCTAAAGAGCCAGGAAGTAAACGCATAGCAACCTGGTGCCCCAAAAAACTGTAAGCTGAGTCTATTTCCTCAAGCACTCACTCTTTGTCTAAAAAGTGAGAAATCTCCCTGAATTTTTTACAATGGCAGTCTAAGTCGCATTGTGATTTGGCTTCAAAATGAGGTTGGTGGAGTGGGGGAACTTTTTTTTTTTATGGCAAGGAAACAAGCACTGATTAGCGCCATTATCACTGGCTCATAATACTTCAAAAAGGCCATTAAAGGTATGGAAAAGCAGCTCATTAAAAACAATAGCAGCCTCCAGGCTGACCGATTAGACTCTGGCTGGATAATGCTCTCTTGGCTCATGGACCTCACACTGCCTCCTGTTTCTATTTTAAATCACTTTCATCTAAAGAGGAAACTTTTCCTTTTTGAACTAGGAAGAGCTTGAGTTACAAATAGCACGGACAGGAATCCTTCTCTGTTGCTAAAGGGAAGTCGTGCAAAAAAGTCAACTGCAAATCAACTAAAAATGGAAGCTTTGGGGAAGAGGTGTGAAAGCTGAATTCTGCAGTTCCAGCCATCGTAGCTCAGCAGAGCATCAAACATTCCCTCTCGCAGGAACTGGAAATATTTAAAGGAGGAGTGGAATTAATGCCAATGGTTAAAAAAAAAAAAAAGGGAACACAGGGGAGGCAGGCAGGCTGGGAGAGCAGAGTAGGTAATTCTGGGAATCGTAGTCTCAACAGATTTGGAAGGCAGAAGCATGGGTGGGGGTCTACCTTAGAAGAGAATATTAGTAACGCAGAGTTGAACTGTGGAGTCCTTAAGTGTTCTCTCATCTTGGTTGTTTGCTTGTAGAGACATTTCATTACCCACCTAGGTAACATCATCAAGGGAGAGGTGTTTGTGGAGAGGAAGAGGAGGAGGAGGTGGAAGAGGAGGACTGTGGGGTCCTTGGTGCTGGTTATTTTCTTGGAGATATTTCATCACCCAACTAGGTAACTTCATCAGTGCTAGAACGGAGTGGGGTTTGTTCTATGTTTATCTACAAGTGGCCTGGCAGTGTTGGTGGGACAATCAAGGAACTACCAACTCAGACAAACTGACAATAAACCATAGCCTACTCAAGAAACCACCTATTACTTTAGGGGACGTGAATTTGGTAAAACAGATTAAAGATCAAACTCGAGCCCATATAAAGAGAATTTATAATGTTTTAATAGAATTGGATTCTGAAACGGAGTTAGTTAAAGACTATATGGTAAAATGGGCTCAAAATATTCAAGAGCCGATTCTATTGGACACATGGGAGACAATTTGGGTTAGAAATGTAAAATTTACTCAAGCTCAAAATTTAAGAGAAAATTTTTATAAAATGTTTTATAGGTGGCATTTGGATCCTCAAAAGCTGTCCTGTATGTATCCTAATTTACAGCCCAAATGTTGGAGATGTGGAAGCTTAGATGCAACTTATTTTCATATTTGGTGGACTTGTAGAAATATAAAAGCTTTTTGGATTAAGATTTGGTGGAATACTCAAAATATTTTAAAGAGAAAGATAAAGTTTATGCCACAATTATTTTTCTTAGGTGTTATTGTAGATTTTGATGTTAAAGAAATTAATTTGATGTTGAATCTTATAATAGCTGCAAGATTATTGGTGGGGCAATATTGGAAGAAAGATTCTTTGCCTACTATGGAAGAATAGATACTCAAGGTGTCTAATTTAGCAGAAATGGCAAAAATTTCCACTTATTTGAAGGACTATTCACAAGAAAGATATATCTCGGTTTGGAGAAGATGGATAAATTATATTCAGAATAAATATGAGACTAAAAAGTATTATCTAGTTTATGAGTAAATTTTAGATTATTATTAATAGTTTAATATGGTAGAATTTATATTCGTTTTAGTTTTATGGTTTAATTATATTATTATTTTCGTATTTAATTTGTTAATATTTATTTTGAAAAGGAGTTAAAGTATGTTATGGATTTGATTGTTTGTATAGTTGGGTAATGTTAGTTAGATTATGATTATTTGTAACCCTGTAATCAGCTCTGGGAAGTGGGGGAGGGGTGGGAGGGATTTGGGATATATATTGTATAAAATCTTTAAAAGTTTTAATAATAATAAAAAAAAGAAACCACCAAGAACGTTCCCACTCAACACTGACAGGGCAAGCCACTTGTAGATAAACAGAGCACAAACCCTACTCTCTTCTAGCCCCAATGATGTTACCTAACTGGGTAATGAAACGTCTGCAAGAAAAGAGACACCCCCCCCTCCAGGACCCCCCAAGTCTCCTTTAGCCAGAGGCTTTATGGATTCCCTCCATCAACTTTGGAAGTTATCTTCAGGGCTAGAGATCTTCACGCTAACCCTCAAAACGTGGGCCTACCATCCCAACTCAAGGAAATGCACGCAGGTGTTGTTTCCACAACTTGAGTTTGGGGAGCAGCTTTCTCACCTTGAGGTGTCTCTTATGGAGGTTTGGGGCTGACTCACAACTGTTGATTTTCTCCCCACGGATCCACCTTTGACTCAGCAGTTTCCCTCGGAACTCATTTTCTAAGGAGAGAAGAGAAAGTGCACCTCATCAGAAGAGAATATTTTGAGCTCAGGGTTGAACCATGAGGTCTTTGGTGGTCTCTGAGTAGAAGGCAGGGTGGAGAGGAGGAGGAGGAGGAGGAGGAGGAGGAGGAGGAGGAGGAGGAGGAGGAGGAGGAGGAATGTGGGGTCCTTGGTGCTCTCTGAGCTTGGTTGTTTTCTTGCAGACCTTTTATTACCCAACTAGGTAACATCATCAGTTTTAGAAGGGAGTGGGGTTTGCACGGATGATGTTATCTAGAATAGAATAGAATAGAATAGAATAGAATAGAATAGAATAGAATAGAATAGAATAGAATAGAATGACAAAAGTGCGTATAGTCCAGGCCATGGTTTGCCCAGTTGCAATGTATGGCTGTGAAAGTTGGACCATAAGAAAGGCTGAGTGCCAAAGAATTGAGGCCTTTGAACTCTGGTGCTGGAGAAGACTCCTGTGAGTCTTCTCTTGGACTGCAAGGTGATCGAATCGGTCAGTCCTAGAGGAGATCAACCCTGACTGCTCTTTAAAAGGCCAGATCCTGAAGTTGAAACTCAAGTCCTTTGACGACCTAATGAGAAGGAAGGACTCACTGGAGAAGAGCCTGATGCTGGGAAAGATGGAGGGCAATAGAAGAAGGGGACGGCAAAGAAGGAGGTGGCTGGATGGAGTTACTGAAGCAGTAGGCGTGAGCTTAAATGGACTCCGGAAGATGGTAGAGGACAGGAAGGCCTGGAGGAACATTGTCCATGGGGTCACGATGGGTTGGACACGACTTCGCAACTAAGAACAACAACAACAGCAATAAGAATAGAATAGAATAGAATAGAATAGAATAGAATAGAATAGAATATGGAATGGGGAATAGAATAGAATAGAGTATATAGAGTAGAGTAGAGTAGAGTAGAGTAGAATAGAATAGAATAGAATAGAATAGAATAGAATAGAATAGAATAGAATAGAGCTGGAAGGGATCTTGGAGGTCTTCTAGTCCAGCCCCCTGCTCAAGCAGGAGAACCTATACCGTCTCAGACAGGTGAATGTCTAATCTAGTTGGGCAATGAAATGTCTGCAAGAAAACCACCAAGCTCAGAGAGTACCAAGGACCCCATGCATACCATCAGTATGAAGCTGGGATATTTTTTAAATTAAATTTCCACACCATCCATTTCACCTAAGTGATTCTGAGCACTTTACAGTAGCACAACAAAACCATACAAATACATAGATAACAGCATAACTCAGGGGTCCCCAACCACCGGTCCGTGGACTGATGCCGGTCTGCAGCATGCCAGAAAGTGGGCCGCCCAAACAAGCAAAACTCCATCCTCGGGATGTAGGCCGTATACAAAAACTACACCCCCTCTGCTTCCATGGAAAAAAACCTTTCTCCGTGGCACTGGTCCCTGGTGCCCAAAAGGTTGTGGACCTCTGGCATAGCATAAAAACGGAGTTTAAAAACAACTTAGAAGATGATATAAACCAGGTTAAAATTCAAAAGTTAGAAGGTTAACAAGATAGCAAGAGTATTCACAGGCCACCAGCCATCCCTAGGGCTGCAATTGTACTTTTAGACCCCTATTGGCAAAGCCAGATGTTGAGACTCTTCCAGTAAGCCAGAAGAAGGGGGGGCTCACCTCACCTTGGGGGTGGGGGTGGTAAGATTTTCCATAGGGTGGGGGCAGCAGCTGAGAAGGCCCTTCTCTTAGATCCCACCAGTCCAAATTTCTTGATTTACGACCAGTGGTGGGATTCAGCCAGTTCGCACTGCTTCGGCAGAACCGGTAGCTAATTTTTTGTTGCCCAGGCCCAGAACGGACTTCCGGAAGCGGCATCCACACCTATTGTTCACCTATTTGAATCCCACCACTGACTGATGGGATACATAGCACGCCTTCTCTGCTTGACTTTTTTTTTTTGTAACGTGGTGACCAAAACTGGATGCCGTATTCCAAATGTGATCTTAGTAAGATTTTGTAAAAAAAGTATTAGTACTGCTTTATAAAGCCTCAATAAGACCACATCTTGCATCCAGTTTTGGTCACTACGTTACAAAAGTGATGTTGAGACTTTAGAACAGTGGTTCTCAACCTTTTTAATGCCGTGACCCCAACCGGTCGTAAGTCGAGGACTACTCAACCGGTTGTAAATCGAGGACCACTCAACTGGTGCAGCACCGTTTGCAGAATGAGACTTTTGGCGGGCTCAGCAAGGCAGACACAGCCTGGACAATTCCTATTGGCTTTTGAAAGCCAATAGAATTAGACTCTATTCAAGAGAGTCTACTCTACTGGCTTTCAAAAGCCAATAGAATAAAAGGGAGTAGCACAGCTAAGGAAAAGCGGGGAAAAATGGTGGACTGCATTGTTTGGCGACCCCCGTGAAATGGTCGTTCGACCCCAAATGGGGTCCCAACCCACAGGTTGAGAACCACTGCTTTAGAAAGTAGAGAAGAGCAACTAAGATGAACAAAGGCCTGGAGGGTAAAACATATGAAAAACAGTTTCAGGAATTGGGTTTGGCTAGTCTAGAGACAAGAACGACTGGGGTGGGGGTGGGGGGACATGATAGCAGTATATTTGAGGGGCTGCCACAAAGAAGGAGGGTCAACCTATTTTCCAAAGCACCAGAAGGCAAGACAATGGTTGGAAACTGATCAAAGAGAGAAGCAACCTGGAATTAAGGAGAAACTTCCTAACAGTAAGAACAATCAATCCATGGAACAGCTTCCCTCCAGAAATTGTCGGTGCTCCATCACTGGATGTTTTTAAGAAGAGCCTGGAGAGCCAGTATAGGATCTCCTCAGTGGTGGGATTCAGCTGGTTCGTACCACTTCAGCAGAACCGGTAGCTAATTTTTTGTTGCCCAGGTCCAGAATGGACTTCCGGAAGTGGCATCCACACAGAGAACCGGTTGTCCACCTATTTGAATCCCACCACTGGGTCTCCTGCTTGAGCAGGGTGTTGGACTAGAAGACCTCTAAGGTCCCTTCCAGCTCTATTCTCATTGATTGATGAATTTAGGATGAAACCGTTCCTTAGATTTCCTAGTCCTAGGGGTTACCTGATAGCAGTCTTCCAATATCTAAACGGCTACGTTAGAAAACTCCTGATATTAAATATTTAGCTTTTACGATATGGGATACTATATTATATATGATATAATAATGATATTGGTTTCCCTTGGACATAAAGAGACATATTCAGTTTCAACAAAACGCTGATTCGCGGACCCTTTGTTGGATCGTGGATACCCTTGAAAGAAAACTGCCTGGTCAGCTTATAAACAATTTGCAAAGTTTCTGCTCGCCTGCGTATTTCTGGCCTCGTTGACTTGCTGTTTTTTCTGCTCAAGGGCATCTGCGAGAAATCAAATAAAGTCCAGATGGTTGTTGCGACCGTGTGATCAAAGTCCTGCCCCACCCACCCCCATTTCTAACTGGGCATAGGTAAAAATGGGAGTGGCTGCCATCTTGACTCTTTTGACTTAGCTAACCTCTACACTCTGGCTTAAAATAAAATACCTTTTGCTTATCATGCATATTTTACATCAGAGGTCCCCAACCTTTTGGGCACCAGGGACCGGTTCCGTGGAGAGAGGTTTTTCCGCGGATCGAAGAGTCCGTGGTTTTGTGTGCTGCCTGCATCCCGTGAACGGGCCTTTGTTTATTTGTGCGGCCCGGTTGCTGGCATGCCACGGACCGGTACCGGTCCACAGACTGGGGGTTGGGGACCCCTGTTTGTTTTACATTACAGGGAGCCCTTGACTTACAGCCATTTGTTTCCAATTAAAACAAGATTGAAATAAAAACTGATTTAGCAGTGGTCCTCACACTTAAGACTGTGGCAGCATCCTCAAGGTCATGCAATTAAAATTTGGATGCTTGACAAATTTACAACTTTTGTAGAATCCCGAGTCAGGCGATTACGATTTGCGAGCTTCCTAGCTGCTTTCCAATAAGCAAAATCAACATGGGAAGCCGGATTCAGTTAGCAACACAATTCACTTAATGACTTCAGGGATTTGCTGAACAAGCATGGCAAAAAGGTAGTAGAATCAAGTAAAACTCACTTAACAACGGCCTTGCTTAGCAACGGAAATTCTGGTCATTTGACTAGGGGGAGCTTTTGGAAGTTTGGAACTGGGTCATAAATATCTAAAAGGGAGGTCCCTCGTGACTTTGAATGGTGGCCAAACGACCAGTCGTAAGTCAAGGAACAACCTGTAACCTTTCTTCTCTGCTCAGACAGAGCTTGGCTAGAACACAGAATAAAGCCACACTTGGAATACAGCATCCAGTTTTGGTCACCACGATGTAAAAAAGATGTTGAGACTCTAGAAAGAGTACAGAGAAGGGCAACAAAAAGGATCAGGGGACTGGAGGCTAAAACATATAAGGAACGGTTGCTGGAATTGGGTGTGTCTAGTTTAATGAAGAAAAGGATGAGGGAAGAAGTGACAATTTTATTACTTGACAGAAGGATCTGGACAGACTTGAACACTGGGCACTAACTAACAAAATGAAATTCAATGGTGAAAAAAGCAAGGTTCTACATTTAGGCAAGAAAAACCAAATGCACAAGTACAGCATAGGTGGCACCATGCTCAATAGTAGTAACTGTGAGAGGGACCTCGGATTCCTAGTAGACAATCACCTAAATATGAGCCAGCAATGTGCTGCAGCTGCCAAAAAGGCCAATACAGTACTAGGCTGCATTAACAGAGGGATAGAATCAAGATCACGTGAAGTATTAATACCACTCTACAATGCCTTGGTAAGGCCACACTTGGAATACTGCATCCAGTTTTGATCACCACGATGTAAAAAAGATGCTGAGACTCTAGAACGAGTACAGAGAAGAGCAACAAAGAGGATCAGGGGACTGGAGGCTAAAACATATAAGGAACGGTTGCTGGAATTGGGCATGTCTAGTTTAACGAAGAGAAGGACGAGGGGGGACATGAAGCAGTCTTCCAGTATCTC